ATCTTGACCCTATGTTTATAGATGTGATGATCACGGATACAAGTGATAACACATGGAGACTTACTGGTATGTACGGAGAGTTTAGATGGGAGAATAAGCATAAAACATGGGACCGTATGTCGGGCATTTTTAGTTGGTGATCTGAACGAAATACAGTTTTTACAGGAAAAAGAAGAGGTAATCCTCGCCCCCAGCAATATATGACAGCATTTCAGAATGCTATCGATGATTGCAATCTCAAGGATATGGGATTTGTCGGGGATATGTTCACCTGGAGGAGAGGAAGAATACAGGAGAGATTGGACAGGGGTCTAATAAACGACGAGTGGTCGATTCTATACCCACATGTTGTGCTTGAAAATCTGGAGTTCAATCATTCAGACCACAGACCTATTCTTGTGAACACTGAATATTACATTCAGGAACATGTGGATCCTAACCAAAGACCAAGGAGGTTTGAGGCGTACTGGCTGAAGGAAAGAAAATTTACTGAAGTAGTACAGGACGCATGGGATCATGTTTCAGCGAACCAAGGAACTAGCATGTATGAAAAACTTTCATGCATGCATGGTCGCTTCCATGATTGGGACCAGAGATTCTTAAAAAACCTAAGAAGCGATTACACAAGGCGCAACGGGAGTTGGAACACGCGATGACTAGTCCTATGACAGATGAAAATGAAGAGAAGAGGAAGGAGTTGGCTGAGCTGGTGGAATATTTGCTTGAGCTGGAGGAGATTGCATGTAGGCAACGTTCGCGTGCTACATGGTTGACAAGTGGCGATCGAAACACGGGTTTCTTCATGGCTTATGCTTCAGCTAGGAGAAAAAAGAATTTCATTAAAATGTTAAAGGATGATAATGGGCAATGGCTGGAAGGTAATTCATCTTTAAATCCGCATGTCCAGAATTACTTCTCTAATCTGTTCTCTTCGGAAGTTAATCAAACAGATCCAGTATTGTTAGAAAAAGTTCATAGTAAAGTGACTGATCAGATGAACAATATGTTGATGACTCCTTTTACTACGGAAGATGTGCATAAAGCTATGTTAAGTATTGGAGATCTAAAAGCGCCAGGGCCGGATGGGTTACATGCTATATTTTTTAAAAAGTATTGGCATATTCTTGGGAGTGACATCACTCATGAAGTCTTACATGCTATCAACACACGTCAAATCCCTGCTGAGTGGAATGATACGTCAATTGTGATGATCCCGAAGGTGGATGCATCTGAACTGGTAACTCAATTTCGGCCTATTAGTCTTTGTAATGTGCTTTACAAAATTATCTCCAAAATGTTGGCTGCCAGATTGAAGAGTATATTGCCTGAAATTATTTCACCTACCCAGAGTGCATTCGTTCCTGGTAAATTGATCACCGATAATACTTTTTGCCTATGAGTGTATCCATAAAATAAAGAATACGAGGAACAGTCTTGCTGGATTGTGTGCAGTCAAGCTGGACATGCATAAGGCTTATGATAGAGTAGAATGGATCTTCTTGAGAAATATGATGAGGAAATTGGGATTCCATGAGAATTGGATTGATTTAATGATGGCTTGTGTGAGCTCGGTAAGATACAAAGTAAGATTTAACTCACAGGAGACGGATATATTTAACCCTACAAGGGGTCTCAAGCAAGGGGACCCCCTCTCGCCGTACCTATTTTTGATTTGTGCAGAAGGTCTTTCTAGTTTATTGCAGTGTAAAGAAGAAGTTGGTGGCATTGATGGGATCAGAGTGTGTAGGAATGCACCGTCAGTTTCACACCTCTTATTTGCTGACGATTCTCTTATTCTCATGCGAGCAGATGTGTTAAATGCAACTTCCTTATGGCAAGCACTAGAAACCTACTGTGAGAATTCGGGACAGATGATTAGTGTCGGTGTCAAAACCGACGGATCTCGGGTAGGGGGTCCCGAACTGTGCGTCTAGGCCGGATGGTAATAGGAGGCAGGGAACACTTTGTTTTACCCAGGTTCGGGCCCTCTCGATGGAGGTAATACCCTACTCCTGCTTGATTAATATTGATGATATGGGTAGTACAAGAGTAGATCTACCACGAGATCAAGGAGGCTAAACCCTAGAAGCTAGCCTATGGTATGATTGTTGTATATATTATATATCTATCGACTAGCCTGGCCTCGGTTTATATAATGCACCGGAGGCCTAGGATAACAAGAGTCCTAGCCGAATACGCCGGTGGGGAGAAGTCCTTGTCTTGATCGCCAAGTCTTGTGGAATCTTCCTTGTATGCGGTAGCCGTCCGAACTGGCCCATGAGTATACGGCCACGGGGGTCCTCGGCCCAATCTAATAGATCGGGAGACGACGTGGTGAGTACCCCCTAGTCCAGGACACCATCAATTAGTGTGGGTAAATCGAGCATCTTTTTCAGCCCAAATACTAATGTGACCATGAAAGCTGAAATTTGTCAAGAGTTGGATATAAATACGGAAGCCTTATCTGATAAATATCTCGGCCTACCTGCCATGGTTGGTGCTGACAAAAGTGATTGTTTCAAACATCTCCGTGACAGGGTTATGCAGAGGATAAAAGGATGGATGGAGAAACAATTATCCACGGGTGGCAAGGAGATCTTATTGAAGGCCATTGCTCAGTCTATACCAGTATTTGCAATGCCAGTTTTCTGTCTTCCTAAAGGCGTTTGCAAAGAAATTACAGATGTAATAGCTCAATTCTGGTGGGGTGATGAAGAAGATAACAAGAAGATGCATTGGTATTCTTGGTGGAAGCTATGTTTCCCGAAGAGTGAAGGTGGGATGGGATTTCGAGATTTATATTCGTTTAATCTTGCTCTCTTAGTGAAACAGTGCTGGAGATTGATAACGAACCTGGACTCGCTTTGTGCTAGGATTTTAAAGGCAAAGTATTACCCAAATTGTGATATTCTCCTAGCAGGGCCGAAAAAGGGATCTTCCTTCACTTGGCAGAGTATCATTCCTGGGTTAGCTTGCTTTAAACGTGGATACATATGGAGAATAGGAATGGGAGAAAATGTTGACATCTGGGCTGACCCGTGGATACCTTCAAGCCCAAACAGGGTGATTATTACTCCGCGGAATCAGTCTATTTTAACAAAGGTTTCTGAACTAGTTAATCCTATTACCCAAACATGGGATGAGCAATTGCTTCAAGACCATTTTAACCCCGTGGATGTTCGAAGGATCTTGCAGATACCCTTACACCTTCAAGCATTTGATGATTTTGTCGCCTGGCATCCAAATAAAAACGGAATCTTTTCTGTGAAAACTGCATATCATATTGAGTGGATACACAAATATGGGGACCATGCAACTGCCCTGGGCAGACCGGGAAGCTCTACGACTCCGGCAGTGTGGTCTATGCTATGGAATCTTCAAGTCCCACGTAAAGTTCAAATATTTTGCTGGAGAATTCTGCACGGAATTGTACCATTAATGTCTGTACTCAGACACATCCCGATGAGTGGAGAATGCCCAATCTGTCACGTTGGACCAGAGGATGTGCGCCATCTGCTTTTTGAATGCATTCCAGCGAGAGAATTGTGGGAGAAATTAGGCGTTTTGGACTCTATCAGATCGGCCCTTCATGTGGATCGCTCGGGATCAATAGTTCTGGAACACTTGCTAAACTTACCAACCACTCCGTTTCACCTCATGCGCGAAGTATTGACATCATAGCAGTGGGATGCTGGTATTTGTGGTGGATCCATAGGCAGGTCATCCACAATGAGACAATTCCGCCTCCCAATAGATGGCCCATTTCAGTGATGGCAATTACATGCGGGTATAACAAAGTGTCGAACCAAAATAGGGAGGACACGGAGCATAGATGGAAGAGGCCAGGCCCAAAGTTTGTTAAAGTAAATGTTGACGCTGCTTTTTATCAAGATGTAGGTGCAGGAGCAACGGCCGCTATAAAAGGGGCAATTTCTAGCTGCTCAATGCAAATACAATGATTGTGCTTTAGATGCTACGGCTATGGAGGCTAAGGCCATGCGAGATGGCCTTCAATTTGCTAATTCATTAGGCTTTAATTGGGTTGAGGCTGAATCAGACTCCCTTGAAGTCATTCAGTTCTGCACAGGACAAACACAATGGTGGGATGCATCAGCAGCAGTCTTTGCGGAGTGTCTGGATACTGCTACATCAATTGGAAGGGTCACCTTCAAGCATTGTTTTCGTGCGGCAAATACCGCACCTCATGAGCTAGCTAAGTTTAGTTTTTGTAATAAAGTGTCAGATAGTTGGACTGACAAACCACCTGCATGTATCGTCAACAGCCTTGTGAACGATGTAATTTTGATCTGAGTAAATAAAGCTAGCCATGATGGCCTTCCCTCAAAAAAAAATTTATGACACAACTTCATTTATTATGACATACAGAAATGATGGGCAAATACAATAAAACACTCTAAAATTTCCTGTCAGGATGAAGATCCAATTTGAACTAGGAATTAGTACAGAAATAGAGCAATTAGCAATTAATTTAGTTTACACTAAGTAAGCAGATTATATTCTCCCTAGTGGATATTTTTATATTGTCTATAGTGCATAACAGCTGCAAACCACACTGAAAATTTGCAATAACTTATCAAGCATCATCTCAATAGCTTTTTGTTTTGCCTTCTGAGACCCACATGGGCACATGGCTGCCCAAATTTCATCCAATTGCAGAATACAGAGAGATTTCTTCAGCTACATTTCACCACTGACCCCATGGGCAACTAGCTGATGAAGACCGTGAGCTCCTGCCACTTAAACCGATCGTGCTGTTAATTCTCCCATTTTGGGCTGGAATATTGAATAGGAGAATTTGTTATATAAAGAGGTGAAGCCTGATTTTTTTTTGGACAAAAGGTGAAGCCTGATCACACATGCAAAATAAGGTCCACTTAGGCATCATAAAACAACAGACTGTGATGCATACCTTCCGAGAGTAGACTGCTCCATAAAAGATGATAGCCTTCAAGTAACATGGGAAAACCACCTAGTGTATACTAATTCCATACTTTCAGGGCTGTGCACCCCATACCATTTGAAGATGCTACCATGCTATCATCTTTCTCTTCCGAGTTTACTTCTGCATCTGGAATAATCTGAGGAAACAAGTCATCAACAGTCCTCTAGTAAATTCTTCTGATATGGGATCCTGAATTCCACCATAGCAGAACAACTGACCATGCCATCTTACATTTGTTCCAGAAAAGTAACATGAATTAACAAGGGATAAAGTACCGGCAAGTAGTTTTCTCCTGCATGTTCCCTCCTGCTTCTCAGGCCATGCACTAGCCAGAGCAACTGCATGGCCGGCATTTCTGTACGTTTTCCACAGTGTAATGGTCCAGGATGTTGATGTTTTAATTGATGAAAGCTCCGATAATTTGTTGTGTTAAGTCTCTTGGTGACAGATGTTACAGCATGACATCTTAATAAAAATAATCAACTAGAAGACCCTCGAAATCTCATTCTTCTCCCTGGCAATTTTCCCCAAATTAACTGCTCACAAGCCAAACAACAATCATGGCAGCATGAAACATCAATTGTCAGCTTCATGACTAACCATCGATTTCCATATGATCATATCCCTCATGAACATCCCATAATCCTCCCATTCGAAATTCAAACTTGCGTAGCTTCATCCATCCTGGACCAAGCATTATGAGGTCATACAGGCTGATTCCATTGCAATTCTTGAGTACAAATTCTTCCAATGATCCATTCAAGCCTAGATACTCCAGCCACTCGGTACTGCCTACTTTCTCACAGTTGATAAGGTGGAGGGAAGACAGACTCTTGCAACCAACTGCAACCGAGAGAAGTCCACAAGAAGTTATTTCAGTTGCAGAGTTCAGCCTGAGGGAAGTCAATTTCTCGCTGTAGCATAGATAACCAAGACCGGTGTCATCGATTTGTGAACAGAAACTTAGTGTGAGATCGGTTAGAGAGGGACAGCAAGATATAATCACAAAGAGGTCATGGTTGTCCAACTGATCCCCGTGGGAAGGTGTCCAGCCAGCATAATCGATCTCAACTTTCCACAAATTGGGGAACCGGGAGAAGAGTGACACCAAAGCTTCAGTGGCAAGGCAAAGGCCACAACCAACCCGGATGGACCCCTTTTGCTCAGCCTGGATGGCGAAGAGACGCTTCGAGACAAGGGAAAGAGAATTCAAGTCACTTCTTTTGGTAACCCTCTTGATGATCTCTGCCAGCAGTGCCTCCGGGAGATCCTCCATCGAGTGCTAGTTGGGATTGGGTATCCAGAATGCTGGACTAAAACATAAACTATAATGAGATCAAAATGAAGCATATGAAGATAATTTACCCACATTAGAGATGATTTTGAACCCTCTTCAGTATCAATTGACAATTGGTGTGTTCATCAGATTGCTGAGCAAAGAAAGAATCTACTAAGCGCATCATCAACAATAAACTGAATTCAGTACTTGCTGACTTCGCAGCTTGTATAGCAATTATAATGAGATCAAAATGAAGCATATGAAGATAACCTAATCACATTAGAGATAATTCATATCTACTATATCACTAAGCTCCCTAGGGGTGGAAGGGTTAAGAATCAATTGAGGAGAATTAATTTGGATGGGTGACCCTGATTTTGACCGGGTCGTGCGCCCACCACGCCTCCCTTCTTCTCTAACCTTCCGTCCCTTCCTCTAAAAATAAAGATCTCCTGTTCGAGCAAAACCAACATCGCCGGTCCTTCGCCTCGCACTCCCCCCTCTCCCCTGCCTGCCTTCCTCTCCTATCTCTGCCTCGCCGTCCTCTCCTCTGCCCACGACCTCGACAGCTCCTGATCGAGCGTTGTCCCTGGCTCGGCTGGTGGATTGTCCCACGACAACGGTGGTGGGGGCAACGGGCACGGGCAGCAGCTTTGAGCATCTCGGGCTGCAGGTCGAGCGCGTCAGTGCACGGGAATCCAGCCGTCGGGCTGAGCTTGACGAGCCACCGGAGGCGCGAGAGCCGTGTTAGAGTTATAATATAAGTCATGTACCCCTTTATATTTATCTCGTTGTATGAGGGGTTTCCTGCATATGTTCCACACCTGTACATGTATATATATATCGGCCTATGGCCTCATGGGAATACAAGTTGCATATTCCTAACATGGTATTAGAGCTAGGTCAATTTTTTGCACGCTGCAACTCGTGCTTTTTGATCCGTCTGTTCGATCGAAGCAATCCGCTCGATCTCCTCTTCGTCTCTCGATCGAAGCAGGGGGCTCGTCCGCAGGAGCCCCCGATCTCCTCTTCAGCCAGCCGCTAGCAAGGCTTCTGCTGCCGGCCCCGTCCCGATCGGGTGTCTTCCAGCCGCTCGGCTGCCGGCCCGTCCCGCTCCCGTCCAGCCGGCGCTCAGGAGCCCCCGATCTCCTACCCAGCCGCCCGTCCCGCTCCCGTCCAGCCGGCGCTCAGAGAGCTCGGCTGCTGGCCTGTCCCGCTCGGGCGTCACCCAGCCGCCCTTCCCGCAGGCGCCCAGGGCGTCAGATCGGCCCAGGGGGCTCGTCCTGCAGGCGCCCTTGATCTCCTCTCCCGCCGGCTCTCG